GCTGAAGATGAACGCAGAAAGAGAAGAGGCTGGTGAGGAGCATGTTGTGAGTGTTCTGTTTGTACTTCAGCTTGTGAACAGTCTAAGGCTTTAATATTTTGCCTGATACTTATTCTGAAGATCTGACTCTATTATTTTAAAGGAACCTACGAGCTGATCAATTAAACATATGCATTTTAACAAGGGCACAGTCTCCAGTGAAGTAGCTCCATCAGTGAGGATCCCAAGCACCATGGGTAGTCTCTGTTCTTTCACCTTGCTCTGCTCTATGACCCTCCAGCAATCCCCCTTCACCTGCAGTGTCTATGACTGCCCCCCAGCCTCCTGCAGCCTTCTGCACACAAATCCCTTTTCCTTTCTGTTCTCACTGCCTTACCCTAGTTTAAGACCGCATCACCACACACCTGGACCACTACAGAAGCCTCCTACCATCTGTCTCTGTGTCAAAACTCTCCTCTCCTCAGCTCATACCTTACCTTGCAGCCAGGTACATGATCCTGTAACACAGGGGTGATCCTCTCCACTCCGACACCCTTCAGAGATCTCTCACTGCCTGAAGACAACACTTACATGTCTTTGTACTGGCTTTGAAAGCCCTCTTTTTCACACTGACTCACCTTGGCAAGCTTATCATCCCTGTGTCGCCCCCACACTTCAAAAAGGAAACAGCAAGCCCAAGTGCCTATCTAGGTCTTCCCTCAATGCTTCTTGTAGTCTGGGATGCCTACACAGCACCCTCTGTCTATGAAAACCCTCCTCTTCCTTCAAGAGCCAATTCACATGCTGCATCCTCCTTGAAGCCTTCTCAGGCTTTGGTGCTCTCTCTCCCTCCTCTACATTCCAGGCACACCTGATGTGAGGGCTTATCTCCTCTATTTTATAGGGTATCGGTGCTTATTTCTGGGTTCCCCCACAAAACTGAACCCCTTTAGGGCGCTTTGGCAGTCTAGCTCACCTTGCTCATCTCTGTGCTCCCCACAAAGCCTGGCACAGTGCCTGATAGAGAGAGCTCCATAATCTTCCCATGGAATTGAACTGCTTTGGGGGAGGAGGACCGGGGTCATTCAGGGTCCCTCACACCACAGCATTCAGATCACCATACTCTTCACCTGGGCTCAAGCCTGGCCCCCTGACCAGACCATCAACTGTGTTTCTAAGGAAGTTCCACACTTCCTCCCTTTAATACTGGCCTCTAGAAAAAATTAAAAACCATATTACCTTCCACAGGAGGTGCGAGCCTGCTCTGCTTTCCTTCCACAGATGACTTATTTGTTGTAGCTAGAAAATATTCAAAGAAAAGTAAAAGAAAGCAATTTTAGGTGCCTAAATGGAGTGCAAGCCACTGTGTATCCACAAATCTTACAGACACCATGATAGAAAATCAGTTAACTGTAAATAAATTCCACAAAAAGCTTTGCAAACCAGAAATTAGAAGTTACTCCATCAAGTGGAAAAACACGTTAACACTTGAAAATTATGTTAGAAACCCTTAATCAGTGATTCCATTTATGGGACACCATGCTGTATACTTGACAACAGTTTTGTACAAGGTAGCCTGACTCCATCACTCTCTTAGTCACAGTGGATTGGTCCATCACGGGTACCTCACATGAGCTAGGCTGAGTATAGTGCTTTCTCCACATGACACCCCCAGATTAAAGTTGCTTGATCCAGCTGTGAGCACCTCACTCAGATGCCAATCAGATTACTTTCTCAAGAATTTTGGAACCAGATTGAGAAGAAGGGTTCATCCCTCTTTTCCCCTCATTTTTCCTACTGCGATGGCTAATTTTATGTGTCACCTTGGTTAGGCCGTGGCTCCTCACTATTTAGTTAAACAGTAACCTAGATGTGTCTGTGAAAGTATTTTTTAGATGAGATTTGCACTTAAATCAGTAGACTTGGAGTAAAACAAAACCCTCCAAAATGTGGGTGGGCCTCATCCAATCAGTTGAAGACCTTGGTAGAAAAACACTGACCTTCTTGAAAAAGGAATTCTGCCAGCACACTGCCTGCAGATTCAAACTACAACTGTTCCTTGGGTCTTCAGGCTGCTGGCCCACTCTGCAGATTTTGGATTCGCCAAGCCTCCACAATCATGTGAGCCAATTCTTTAAAATAAATATTTCTCTAGATACGTTGATAGATAGGTAGATAGATAGATGATAGATCGATAGATAGATAGATGATAGACAGATTAGATAGATCTCTCCTTGTTCCGTTTCTCTTAGGAACCCTGACTAATACATCTACCTTCTGAAGAATGAAGCCGAAACAGAGAGAGAAATGACATTCTTCACCTAGCTCAAGTTTCTGTGTATAATTCCTGAGATCAGCATGTATTCCTTTCCTTGCGTTCTGTAGAGTTGCTGACAATCAAATAGTTCTAGTCTACTTCAAACTTGGTTTCTGAGAATTCCCATTTAAGTATTGTTTTTTTAAAAAAAAAAACAACAATGAAAAAATAATACTTCTATGATTTAAGAGCCTAATAAAGTTCTTCCTCTGGGTTTATAAGACCACCATTTAATAAGCATTTTATGAGTCCTCTGTTTATAAAAATGTACTTCTTGCTTCCCATTCTAATTATGTACCCAATTCTACCACATTAAAAAATAAACAAAGAAATTCACTAAAGGTCTAAGAAGTAAGCATAGTTAGGCCCCTAAAATAATTAGAAGAAGGCAAAGGATGAAGTTGTGGGGCACCTGGGGGACTCAGTAAGTTAAGCGTCTGCTTTCAGCTCAGGTCATGATCCTGGAGTTCTGGGATCGAGTCCTGCACTGGGCTCCCTGCTCAGCGGAGAGCCTGCTCCTCCCTCTGCCCCTCACCCTGCTCATGCGCTCTCTGTCTCTCAAATAAATGAATAAAATCTTTTTTGAAAAATAAAGTTGTAACGATTAAATTTAGCTCATATTGGGCTCAAGAATCTATTCCAGAAACAGATAAGTCAGAGCTGACCTCAGAGGGCTTACTGAAATCGAGCTATAACTTAGATATTCTAGATTTTAAAAGCTCTTTTATAACACAGTCTAACTTAGCCTTTCCAGACCTCTCCCATCCTATCACACCCGGCTTCTTAAAGGTCTAAGGTCTGACAGTTTCTTCCTCTGTCAAATTCACCAACAGCCAAGAATGAGGGTTTATAATGAGAGAAAATTTAGGATGTGGGTAGTCTTGATGATGGTATTGTAGTTTCCATTTGGAAGTGTCACAAGGAAATTTCTAAGTTGTATTAGGAATAAGGGATAGAAGTAAGGTGGGCTGGGGGTACTGGAAGAGAAAAATCAAAAACTGCAAACTTTTTCCATAAAGGGCCAAAGAGTAAACATTTCAGGTTTTGCAGTCCATATGGTCTCCATTGAAAGTATTCAACCCTACGATTGCAGCAAGAAAGCAGCCATATATAATACATCAGTAAATGGGCATGGCTTTTTTCCAATAAAATTTTAATTACAAAAATGACCTGGCTGGATTTTGCCCATGAGCGATAGTTTACTGACTCTTGATTTAAAGTATAGTGTTTGAAAACTTCATTCAAATCAGTTATGAAGACATCACTCAATGCCAGACCAGGTTCTTCTAATAGAATCCTATATACTATCCAGACACGGCTTTAGTTATATCTGATAAGAACGAAGTTGCAGATATTCCCAGACAAGATGCCTGTGGCCTCTCATGTCAGAGATGAATCCCACAAATCGGAATGTACTCTTAAGTGTGCAAAAGGATTGTTTTCAGAAGAGAAGAAAATGCTTATTTTCACAAATATTCCTCTAATTACTTTTATGATACTGGAAATGCCTTTTAAGCTTTGTTAATTGTTGATATATGAGTCCTTCCGTTTTATTATCTCCACTGCAGCTAGTTGCCATGGAATGCTGATTTCATAACAAGTATCTTCATTGAAAATAGAAAGCGTTCTTATCCAGTCTCGCTTGAAGCTTCATGTACACCAAAGTAGTAAAAAAATTTGTGTCAACCTTCTGACCAATGGTGCTGTGATTTCTTAATTTATCTGAAACCAAATTTTCTTTAAAGTTCAGAAAGATTATACTGTTACACTGTTAACATCAGAGGTCTAATTTAACACTTTCACAAGGTACATATATACAGACAAACAAACGTGAATTGTGTTTTTTAAAATACATTTATAGTAGGAAAGTAACTTAATGACTGATTAGATAAGTCACCTAGGGCTGCCTTAATATAGGGACGACCAACGTGGTCACATAAAACAACAGAAAGGTATTCGCTTCTATTTCTGGAAGCCAGGAGTCTGAAACTAAGATGGCAGCAGGGCTGTGTTCCTTCCAACAGCTCTAGGAAGAATCCTCCTTGCTTCTTCCAGCTTTTGGTGGCAGCTAGCAATCCTTGGTATTCCTTGGCTTGTAGATGTGTCATTTCAATCTCTGCATCTATCTTCATATTTCCTCTCCCTGTGTCCTCTCCTTTTCTCTTCACTTCTAAGGACTCTTGTCATTGGATTTAGGGCCCACTCTCATCCAGGATGATCTCATCTCAAGCGCTCTAACTTAATTACATCTTCAAAGACCCTTTTTCTAAAGGCAGCCACATTCACAGGTTTCAGCTGGCTATTTCTTTGGGGGGACACCGTTGATGCATTGTTTCCAACCTTTAGATTTATAGTTTATATAATTATTTTACTTATTTTATTCTGTAGTTGACCAGGAATCTAATTTTTCTAGATGGTGAATAATTGAGTGAAATTAGAAAGCATATTTTCAAGTCCAGGAATGCATTTTGGAGTCACCGGAATTATTTTTCAATGAAGTGAGGTATATAACAGAAATAAAAATTTAAAATATAAAGAAAAAGTTAACTACAATGGCAACTTTGGGAGACAGTAGGGCTGAGTGGGGAACACAGACAATAAATTACTAATATCAGCTAAGACCTATTTTTTTAACCCATGTTTCAAATATTGAATGAAAAATGTAATATTTCCTAAATTGTATGAAAAAAA